CTTAGAACCAATAAATGCCTTCACAGGACATAACAATTTTACTCTAATTTATTAAATAACTAGATTCGCCTTAAATGTTGATGAATCGAGTTGAGAAAAGTTTCCAAAGGATAAGTTTGATTTCAGTGCAAAGCGTTGTGACCGTTATAACGTACATTTGCTCATTTTCACCTTTGCTGCATGGTATCGTGGTACCCCCACAATGGCGGGCCTCCTCAACGTGGCGTGGGAGTTAACACTGGGTGCCGGACTGGATGCACATCCGAGTGTATACTCTGGTACTCCAAGCTGTAAAGGTGTTCAATGTTCCCATTTTCGACGGATGCCTAGCTAAAAGCCGTCAGCGATCGCCCCTGAAATTCAAGAGTAGTAAGTCCCCTCTTGTATGGGAAACCTTGTATTAGCAGCAAGAAAAAATAGAAAATACCCTGTACATCGGATCCCGCCGGGTGGCAGCAAGAGCGATGTCACAGTCCTCAGAGCGCCTTTTGGATCGGACAAAAACGTCACGTCTGCCCGGGCAACACGCCATATATGTTGTCTCATGCTCTGCACCTACAGCGCCAGGACAGTCTCTACAAACGCTGAACTCCATGCTTCTTTCGACGCTGCAGAGCACATCAAGTACCACGTCATCACTCTGCAGAAACGATTTCAGGAGGAAGGGCGTGTGGCAGATGAGTGATGTGGCCTTCATCATTCGGTGAAGGTGAATGATGATTCCAACAAGAAACGTTAGAGGCGTTGGCTTTGTCGCCCCCAACTATCGTCCATCTTGTCGACTCGCATGAGATACTATCACCTCGACTAACCAGCCTACAACTACGACCTCCACGTCAGAAGACCAGCAGCTTGTATAGAGCACTCAGCAGCATATACCGCTGATTGTGGTGTATGTACAAACAAGTATGTACAAACTTTTCATGAAGATTATCCTCGCTCGGTAGGACAGTGGATGAAGCCCAACCACAACAACAAACTGGATTTCGCAAAGGATTCAGCTGCATGGACCACATTCAAAGGGTTTCGAGGGTCATAGAAGTCTGCCGGGAGTACCAACTGCCTCTCCTCCTAACCTTCGTCGACTACGAGAAAGCCTTTGACAGCGTTGAAACCAACGCCATCAGCGCTAGTCGATCAAGGAGTGGACCCAGCTTATGTGAGGACGTTAGCCGACTGCTACAAGGACTGTACAACGACGATGCAGCTGTCATCACCTTCTGACCATCCCAATTAGGATGGGAGGCCCGACAAAGCGATACAAGAAGCTGTTTACCGCGGCCTTGCAGTGAGTGTCACTGGACTAGGACGAGAAAGGCCTATGAGTGGGGGGCATATTATCAAATCTTCGTTTTGCGGTCGATATCGTTCTCTTTTCGAAAAGTATCACTGAAGCAGGGACGATGCTGAAGGAATCAAACGAGGTAAGGGAGAATATCAATTACGAATGAATCGAAAAACAGTTCACGAAGAACGCCCTTTACGAAGGTGCAGAAATGGAATTGGAAGGCACCCCTATTATGGAGACGTCTTCTTATGTTATCTCGGTCGTTTTATGAACAGAGAACGACTTGAGGGAAGAACTTAACAGAAGAAAAAGAGCAGCTTGGGTCGCTTTCGGGCCTTTGAAGAAATCCATCGATCAACTCGTGACCCAGCGTAACAAGTTGCGAAAGCGAAGCACCGATGGGCGTGTCACATCATGGGAAGAACAGACGACAGATGGACACTGAGAACATCGCGTCAACCAAAAAGATGGTGGATGCGAGGAACAGGTAAAATGGAAACTTATGTACTGGGGTCCGCATTCGGTATCACTGAAGCCGGGCCATCTATATTATCTGAATAGGCAAGGTGTCGTGAGTTAACTTGGTGTTATTGATATTCACCATTCATTAGATTCAAGACACCTTCTTGCTTTTTTGAGATATTTATTATGCACTAGCGGCATTCCCAGCCTTACCAGGGGCCGGTCTCAACTGTTTCTTTACTGCGCTGCTAGACTTTTGTATCGGAATAAGCTTACTCGCTACATGAGCGTTAGGTCATCGCAAGTTCATCAGAGTATATGAAAATGACTTCACTTCATCTACACAAGGCTGGGGGAAGCAGGGTGACCGCGATAGGGTCTTATTTTCAATGCGAAGTTTTGAAAATTAATAAATCAACAAAATGGTCCACCATTACGGAAAGATGTGGCCTGTTGTTTGCACAGGGTTCGAAAACGTATGCAAAGTTTCTGCTTAAAGGCAGTATCCGTGCAAAAAATCGATTTTGAGATTTTTTTTGCTTACCTGGGTCTCTCCGATGTGCTGATGAAAACACACACTGGAGTGCCAGAAAAAGGCGAAAAGGAGCTCTAACTCAGGAGGGAAGTCGCAGGTGGGCGGAGCCGTTCACATTATGGCTGCGTTTACACTGATTACGTAATCCGGGAACAGTCCCAGCACAATGCTCACTTTGAGCTCTGTGCTGGAACTGTTCCCGAACTTCGGGATCAGTATGAACGCAGCCTATGACGTCGCTCTCCCAGCTTCAGGAGCGATTTTTTCGCTTCTGCTAGTAGCCCCCCCCCCCAGCCAACTGCGGAAAAGCGTGACATAAAATCAGAACCGAGAATATCGTTCCTGAATCTGGGAGAATGACGTCACAATGTGAACAGCTCCACCCACCCGCGATTTCCCTCCTGCATTAAAGCCTTTTAGCCATTTTCGCGCAGTCCAGCGTATGTTTTCGGATTATCATAGTGAACAGGTCCAGGTAAGCACAAAATCTCAAAATCGACTTTTTGCTGAGACACTGCCTTTAATCAGTTCAGCCGCGTAGCTGCTATAATGCAAAACCCTCCTAACAGACAATCGTCGGTTTTTATTCAGCTAGATACTAGTTTCATTATAAACTTCGACATCGTAATTGTGCGCTATCTCGCAAACTTGCCAGAATAGCTGACTGTTTGGATTTGCGTGCATATTTGAAATCAGCTTACAGCTGTACCGGAATATATATGTCTCTTGCCAAAAGGTCAAGCTAAGTTAGTTAGCTTTCCCTACTAGCTTTTTTCGCAGTAAATCTCTCCATTAACTGCAAAAGGATGCGCACTCTATCGCTACGAGTAGGGCTGATTCCACGGCTTACGCATACCCAGGGTGTCCGAAAAAAATATGCCGAGTTTGATTGTTGATAACTCTCTTGTAATAAAATCTTTCGAAAAAGTTAGGTTTGTTGAGCTGGCTTTAACTAAGATTAACAGTTTTACCGATTGCTCTTTAGTACTGTAGGATTCTGGTAGAAACTTCAAACATATGTTGTAGGGTTTTCATGAACGCTTAATCAACTATGTTCAAGATTATGAGCTTTCTAAACGGTGTAATTGCACATTTTAGGAACATTGAAAAACGGCCGCTACCGCTTACCTCGCATAACTTTTGATGAAGCATTATGATAAGTTGCAAACTTCACATTCAGAACAGGGCTCGGCACGAGGTGGCTAGTTGAAAATGCAAAAAACGAAATCCCCCTTGACTTCGCCACTAAAGTACGACATCCCCCTTGACACGCTAACGAATAAATCAAACATGAAAACAAAGAATGAAATAGAATACAATACCGACAATAAATAGGCAATAAAAACTAGTGATTGTTTGTATTCTCCGGGTTGCCGGCATACTGTGTCCGCCGCGCACCACCGCGAGTTTGGAGCACCTTTGCCGCTGCCACCCATATAATTTGGAGGGCTATAACTAGGCGGGGAGGAGAGGGTTTGGGGAGGTACAAGAGCTGTTTTGTAAAATATCAGATGTAAATTACTTTTATGCAAAAAATTTGAAAAAATTATGTGAAGAATAGGAAATATATGACTTTGTTTGCGCTAAGCCACCTCAGGTGGCTATCCAGGTGGCTTGAAAGCCACCTAACCCCGAAAAAAATTTGCCATGCCCTTAGTTCACATAATTTTTTCATAATTTTTCATACCTAGTCCCAAGTCCCCATTGCCCATCTACACACCTATTTTGGTGCCATTTCATCTTCACTTCGCTGTAAACAAACCCTTTGTTTATTTGCTGGCGGCATGCCGGCAGCGTGCCGGCAGCAGATCGAAAGACAGCGTTATGCTCTTCCGCAAAAACGATATCCTTGCTTTTTCCCCCAAAAACGATATCCAGCTTGCTTTGCAAGCCACCTGTGCCGAGCCCTGATCTTAACATATGGGATTTTCAAGTGTAAACTGATAAAAGCCCTTAAGAAATCATCTAGGCTGCATCAATGATTCATTCAAGCTCAAGAAACTCGCCTATAATGTCCCGCCTGTAGTAATCATAAGCTACACTTAAGCCGGCTCTGAAGGACGTGGATAAACGTTTGGCCATGGGATCACATATGTTGACGCCTAAACGGTGCCTTGAGTAAGTGCCCTCCAAGAGCAAGGAGTAGAGCGCTATAATACATCTGGAGAAGGACTAGTACCATTTGCTAATATTCAGTAAGTAACTCGTTAGCTTTAGTTTTGTAACTATTCGCATCGTTGTAGGTGGGACTCAAGATTTCTTATACAGTACAATCTTTTGAGCTAAGTTTGCTTCTTCTCCAAGAAAAAGTTCTCACGAATTAGTTGGCTGAGGGTAGAGAAAAACGAAAAAATGGTGCTGGTAATCCTTTCAGCATTGTAAATTTCAGCTCAAGGTTGCTGAGGGTGAGACGGAAGGGGTGAAATCTTGGTATTCGTAGCTTGAACTCTAGATATAGGCCGAAAAGATACGATGACTCGTTTTGAAACCCTGCAAAATCACTCGTGTTAAGCTCAATTCTTTGTTAGAAAGTTTCGATTTGCGAAGGTTGAATTTAAGTAACATACGTACTCAGAATGGAATTTTAATACATACAAGCTAAGCTTACTTTTTCTCGCTGCATTCGGAAACTAAAAATGGCGAAGTTTCAGATATCTCTATACCACAGTGACCTTATCTTGTTTGATTTACCATGGCTGATCGATATTGCAGATAATGTCACTAACACGACTCTATTGGAGATCAAGAAAGTTGGCGGGAACACGAGAGGTACGGATCGTTCTAGAATCCCGCCATGCTCATCCGTTTCCAGTCCTTCCCTCCACCGACCACTACAAGCTGCACTCCATTTGCCGCACCTGTAATTCAGCCTGCTTTCATCAGTCCACCAAACCTGTTTCTACTTCTACCTACAGGTTTGCAGAGCATTTTCCTTGTTTAGGTTATCTTAAGTGTGCCCTTTCAGACGAGGCAGAAAGAAACAAGCAGTTCTGGCATGATTGCTCAGTCATCCACCTAAAGTGTACACCAATAATGAAAATGGGGATGGACGATGCTGAAGAAGCAACGGTACAGTTGCGAGGTCTCTGAAACATTTCGACGATCTCATTCTAGGTTCGTGAAGACGTGAGTAATCAAAAGAGAAGTTGGTCGCCCCGCCATGAAGCTGCCGTCAGGACCCATTTTGCAGAGCGGCCGGAACTGAACTAGTATGTTCTGCTCTCATTCCTCCGAAATTCTATCTCCTTAATGGACTAGTCGAAGTCCAATCAAAGTCTATGCGTGGCCTTTTGACATGAAGCAGATGTCCAACCAACGCAGCTTGGAAAGCTGCCAAGACTACTTTGCAAATCTGCAGAACGAATCTAGGGTGGGAAGAAATTGCTTCGATTTGCAGGAAACCCGCAAGACTGAGGTGGCCACCTTTAATGCCCATGTATTTCGGGCGGAAACCTAGAAACAGCGATGCTTATTGTAATTCTGATTCTTCTTCATTGTTATGTAATGCGAAACAGGATTCGTACATTTCATGACTATAGGTTACTCTGAATAGTGCAAGTTTTGTACTGTTTAGAGTGACCAATCATGTCAATTGTACAATTAGTAAAAATGCCCATAAACTGGGAAGATAAATTCAAAATCAGAGTTCTAAGCTGTGCTGAACGATACCTGTCTTATGTTAAAAGGACACTGCCACTTCTTGTATTTCCCTTGTGAAGGATCCATAATTAACAAGGGAAAAACGAACCTTTCCCTCTCCCCCTTTTGGCACTTCAAGTAATCCACTGAGGTCGGGACGCTGTCGGAAACTTCCAATGGCTTTATAAAGCTATAGGCCCAAACGGAGGAAAAAATTGCGCCTACATCATGAAGAGCGCTAAAATGCAACTCAGTTATTTGTTTCAGCACTGTTTTGTGCATGGGAATTGGGGACAAGAGCCAGGTCAAACTTGTTGGAATCCTGTAGTGTAATCAGCTCGAATGCAGCGGCTCCAGTGTGTTGCTAAGTGTCTTGAAAGCGTTCTACCCAGTTAGAGAACCGTAGTGGTTACGCAGTCAAATATTTCTGTGAAAGCAAGTTTTTGAAATTTCAAATGACCAAGTCTTTCTAACATTTTCTTAGTGAACAAAAACAACCTTCATCAATCAGACCTCAAGCTGAGCCATTTTTCAATCAAATGTCGAAATTTGTGAAGCATCTGAGGTTTGTTTGCAAGAGTATTGAAGACGTTTTCATTAAGGCTTCTGGAAGTTTCTTTGACTGGCACTTCTACGAAAATTCTCGTCAAAGATCTTGGCGCGCAATGCAGCTTTTCTTCGGTGTATTCTGAAAGTTCTCAGGATAGAAGCCTTCTCCAACTGTGCAAACTTTTTTTTTTGTACTACATTGTTTGGCAACTGAATAGCGAGTGCATAGTTACTTCAATCTACAATGCACAGTTCCCTTGCACTACACATCCTTCGATGTTTCAATTATCAGTGAATCAACCACCCTGGCTTTTTACTGATCTTAAGTCAATGAGATGCAGTCTAAAGCACTTGCAACGTAACGATCAGATATGTATACAAGAACACATGGAAGTGAAGCCAATTTTGTGAAGATCGCTTATAATTTTTATAACCTGCGCACTCCATTCCAAGATGGCTGCCAGCGCGTAACTGTCTGCGCACACATTTGAAGGCAACGCCTACCCAAATTCTTCTAAAACATCCAATTTTAGTTGCCTACCCCTTTTGTTGGTCCTGTTTTTGGATATGGAGTTCTAATAGCACGATAACAAGATAATAAACAAAATCCTTGTTTGAACATAGGTGCTGACGAGTGCAAAGCAAGTATCAACGGATGCAAGTAGGACGTGCACTCAATTTGTTTATGGACACTGCCTTTTACCTAATAACAGTGGGCAGCACACCTCAAAGCTTTATTATTGTGAATTTCCAACTAGCGACAGCTTCGAGCTATACTTCCTTAGGGTATGCTTTTTGAGATGTCGGGTGAGTGCATATGGGCTAATTTGCCAACAAGTCAAGATCTTCTTGGGGGAACATTGTAAAAGATTTGCTGCAATGGTATATATTCAGTCGGATTAGCTTGATGTTTCGACGCGCTGGTTTTTGAAAGCCCAGAGTAGGTGGAAGGGTTTACAGCAGGACACCACCAGATATCCCCTTCAGCCTTGTTTATTACTTGAAGACTTACACAAAGCAAAAGCGGAAATTGTTTCCAAAAAATCTTGGTGACTGGACAAGGAGAGAAGGCTAAACTGTTCGATTCTCCCAAACTCGCTTGTTTGTTTGTTGTTCAGAACATTGAAGGGTAGTTGACTTTGAGAATTCGAGCGATCGGTCATAAACTCCAGCATTTTTTGGTGTCAAAGCTAATGTCCCTAGGTTAGAAGGGAATTTTTTTATATGTCACGATCCTCAGGCAAGAAAGCCACGCTTTTTGGAACGACTCAATGTATATAGGGGAAGACTGGAAAATATTTTCAAACCTAGATTTTTACGTCCCAATAGTCTGAATTACTTCCAGAGCACGAGTACGTAATAAGCTGAAAACTGCAATGTTTCATTTGTTCTCATGTGAAACGTAACTGTTTACCATTTACACCGTTTTCGCAGCTTGTTTCAGCACGCAGAAGTCCCTTCGTTAATGTTTCGTTCCCTTCGTTATGAATTTCGTTTTCATTAGTCGTTTTGTCTCACAAGGAAATGGGTCAAATTTGAAATAGTCTTTCCAAGCAAGCTGCATACCGTTAGCAGGACAGGCCATAATATGCCTTTTGCTGCTCTTCCGCCTTCGAAAAACTTGTGCAATCTGATCACGAGGAAATCGTGTATGTGAGGCAAAGATGATTTACAATTGCTTTTATCTACTTTGGGGAGTTCCCATAAAGCAGAGTCCAAGTTCTGGTTCCAATTTTCCGGGTATGAGCCTTAGATATCTGGCCGAGATGTGAGAACATCGCACCTGTCTGAAGTAGTGCCCTTCACTAGCTTTAGTTCCAGGTACCTAACGGCATTGCTGGCTGCGATGTTCATTTTAATCTGTGTAATCTTCGGTAGGCATTTGTACCTAATAAGACTAATATAAGTAGCCATTTCAACTTGATTTCCTATGATGAACCACAGAGGAGTCTCAGCTGTCTAGCTCGATATTTCACTTAACTTGGCAGAAACAATATCGAATTACTTACGGTAATTTCTGCACCACTCTAGCCTGCCTTAGTAATGATAAAGCAAGGCTTCACATTCCTTTTCATAACATAGGCAGAGAAAAATTGTGTCATTGTAAACACCGGCCCAAAGAAATTTTGAGACGTGATGAAGCAAATTTGCGTTCCTGCTTCGGTAGCCTATGTTCTGAGATCATGCGCTTGCTGAAGTTGGATCTGGCATCAAGAATGCAAAAAAGGTTTTTTGAAGCCTACTTGCGATCTCCAACGAAACCTTACATATCCTATCCGTCAGAAATTTAGTCAGTGGCAATTAGGCAGCCTTCTTGAAGCTCTTCATGTTGAGGGCGGATTATTGAAATGCGATAAATATAAAATACTAGCAATCTGCATTTCTTCTTGCAAACTTGCAATGTGCAGGAGTATCTACTACTTCGCACAAGGAAGCATCTGTTGCTTATTGTTAGGTAATTTCTGAAGAGGCATAGGAGAACAAGCTCAGACTTTAGTTGAATCCAATGCTTTTGCTCCATCATTTTGGTTTTTTCCTGAATCAGTCGCGTTAAGGGCTCGGCACGAGGAAGCTTTTGGAAAATGCAGAAAATGAAGTCCCACTTGACTTTCCCAAAATTTTACAAAGTCCCCTTTGACTCTAAACCATAATCCTAAGAAATCTCCAAAAAAAGAAGTCGACCAAAAAAAAACGTCGCAAATTTTTGTCTTTTCGGCCGCAAAAACAGAACCCCCTTTGCTTTTTATCTTAAAAACGATATCCAGTCTGCTTTACAAGCCACCTGTACCGAGCTTTGATTCAGAATCAGCAACTCTAATTAGCCCAGTGTAAAAGTTATCAGATTGTTTTGTTTCCTTTTCTTCGAGGCAAATTATGGCCTTTCATGGCTCGAAACCTCTTCAAAGTCCTACCATAATCCTACAGTAATTTAGAGCAACTAATAACCTGCTCCATGCCGTAAATCTAAGCTGACAGCTCTACAAAATGGTACCAAAGCTTTTCAAAAGGCTTCATCACAAGATAGTTATTAGCAATCAGGCAGTAGGCACATTTTTTTGGGACGACCTGTATTTGAGGGTCAGGTCGACCGCGCGACGTATGTCGCGTCGTGTACGCACTGCACTGAAAGTTGGGTTATGCAAACTGCGTACGCCTTGCAGTCTGACCGACAAAGAAGAGGACAGGAGTGGGAGAATAATTTTTTCACCCCAACTTGCAGCAACCTTCTCTCTATAAATTTTGGTTCTGCACTTGCACAAAGGAGTGATCGAGGGCATCTACTTTCGCAAAACATTTGAATCCCATGAACCCACATTTTATCTCACGCCGCCTTCAAGGTCCGGAGAACTAACCTGCAACCAATGTAAGCTGTAAATCTTATGTTCCGAATAGTGATAGAGTTGCAATGTGGGCAACGAGCTTATTCTCTGCTGTGCGAACCGCATTCTGCTCAGCCTACGCCAGGTACTAGCGAGGCTGCATTTGACTTCTTGCGTACGACAGGTAACTGCACTCTGCCAAACTCTATCAATGTTTTATCACCTCGAAAAATTCTTGCTGCAGATCCATGCAAATATCTTACAATAGTTTGTCATAACGTTTTCTGACACAAGCAAAAGCTTTTTTTGAGTTCTCAGTGAGACTTTGTCACTACTTTAGAAAGCAAAGCAAGCTTTTTTAAGGTCTTTAAAAAGAACAAGGCAGTTTGAGTATGATGCATCAGATTGTCCCATTAGTTCTATCCATTTTGGTTTTTAACTCATATATTTCTTATTTTCAAATAGATTCCAAGATACCATGCGATAGTGCAAAGCAAGTTCTACAAAATGGCGTTCTTGCTTTTGAACCAACTTTAATCATCAACCTTAACCCCCAGAAAGTGAAAAGCACAACTGCATAAAAATGGAAAACATCGTAGCTGCATACCAGAAAATCCAACAAGAATCCTGGCAGGCGTATACACTTTTCACATTACACATACAAGTTCCTGTAGTTCCTCCTCGATCAGAATTGAAGGGGTT